GTTGCATGATTTCCTCCCTCTCGATCTCTCCCCAGTCCACTTTGCTGTATGTCTCTTATTCTGGACTGTTGTCATATAAACGATGCTTAATCTTACATTCTTTTTATTTTTTTTTATAAATTCTAAGAAACATTTAAGAAATCAATCTCTTTGAAACTGTGAAAGAAAGGAAAAAGGACATTATTACTAATGTTACAATTCTAAAGAAGACAGTAAGTGAACACTACAATCATATATATGGCAACAAATTCGTTAACTTAGAAATTTGCTGTTGTTATGTTTAGTGGAGTCAAAATCCGCTCATAACTGATAGACCAGTCAGTTCTTAGAGGCAGAAAATCACACATCCACTTCCTAAACCACATGTCTATGGAAACTCTATGAACTTGGAGAAACAATGATAGTTCTAGAAAGCCATTAGGTCTTTTATTCATAGAGTCGCAATCAGCCCCAATAAATCACACAGTAAGAGATTACCCATCCCTCTCCAGAGAAGCAGCTGTGGATGCTAATCCTAAACCTGGGCACTCTAACCACAAGCCTTGGGACTAGAAAGGTACAAAGCACCAAACTGACTCAAGAAGAAATAGAAATGTCAGGATTTAAAATAAGTAAAGAGACTAGTAATTCCAAACACTACCCACTAAAAAAGGCCATGCCAAAGGGGCTTCATTGACGAATTCTAAGAAACATTTAAGAAAGCAATCTCTTTGAAACTATGAAAGAAAATACTTCCCAACTTATTCTATGTGACCAGTGTTATTTTAACAAAAGATATCACCAAAAAAGAAGGAAAAGAACAGATCAATAATCCTACGAGTATGACAACAGTCCAGAATAAGAGGATCATAGCAAAGTGAACTGGGAGAGGGGTGAAGGGAGGGGAAGGGAGGAAATGATGCAATAATGAATGAATTTCTTTTATAAAGTGATCTGGGGGTGGGGGCAGGGAGGAAAATGTGCAATCATGAATGAATGAAAATCTAACTTTTCTGTAAACTTTCTTTAAAATAACAATAAAAAATATACCTATGAATATAGACACACACAAAAATCCTCAACAAATACCAGCAAAGCAAATACAGTAACACAGCAAAAGGATTATATGTTAAGATTATGTCTGATTGTGGCAGAAATTCAAGATAGGCTTAAATGGTAATTCAACGAATGTAATATATCATATTATTATATTATCTGATGCTATGCATCAGAAAGCTGGACAGTGACTGGCGATGATAGAAGGAGAATTGATGCCTTTGAGCTGTGATGCTGGAGAAGAGTATTGAAGGGACTGCTAGGAGAACAAAAAACTTTGTCCTGGACGGGGTGAAAACAGGCTGCTTCTTGGAGACAAGGATTCTAAAGCTTCATCTGACATACTTTGGACATGTTGCAAGAAGACCAGTCCTTCGAGAGGGATGTCATGTTTAGGAGGGTAGAGGGACAGCACAGGAGAGGAAGACCCTCGATGAGGTAGGTGGGTTGATTCAGTAACTGGGGTAATGAGAATAGGTATGTTAGAGACAATGAGATTGGCACAGGAGAGAGCAGGGTTTAGGGCTGCTGTGCATAGGGTTACTATGAGTCACAGGTGACTCAACGGCACATAACAACAAACAACAACAACAATATATCATATTAAAATATAATAGGCAAACCCCCATATGATCATTGTCATAAAGCAGAAAAATGATTTGAAAAAATGTATCACTCTTTCATCACATACATACAGAGTCCTCTAAAGAAACAAGAAATAGCAGAGAATTTCTGGTAAAGATTATCTATGAGAATGAGACAGAATGTTCTCTCATTACTTTTATTTATTATTTTACTGAAGTTCTAGCTAAGTTGATTAAGCAAGAAAATGAAATATACCAAGCTTGAAAAAGAAGTAACCTTTTTCTATTTGCAGACAACTTAATCTTATATGTAGAGGTACTACTTCCACATATTTGAGATGAGGCAGAGTGAGGATTTGTAACTGATGTTATAGAGAATAATGAATATGAGTGATTGAATGAAAACCAATTAAAAAAAGAAAAGAGCATTCCTACCAAGACTTTGTTGTTACTCGATAATGCCCCAGGACATCTTTCTCACATAGATTTATCAGCACCACAACAAGAAAGGGCAAGATGTTCCAAAAACTTTTAAAACAACAGCTGCGGTTAACCTGTGTATCTAGGTGCAATCATCTCTTTAAAATGGCACTTCTTACAGACTACATTTGCTCAGGCAATAGCTGCAACAGATGGAGATGTGGTATTATTACATGCTTTCTGGAAGAATTATATTCTTCAGTGAATCAGGAAATGACATTTTCCTGGGAGGAAGTGACAGGAAAACACATGTAGAAGATATGGGAAAAATTTGCTGAGTTATACGAATATTTAAGCAAGATTGTAGACATTGATGGGAATACCATCCATATGGTAAAAGAGTGGAATTTAGACTTGATGTGGAACAGCTTCATAGATCATCAAGGGGCATTGACAAAACAAGGCATATGGAAGAAAATGCTGAAGAAAGAGATCATGAGAATGAAGTGAAGTTGTCAAAAATTTTACAGTGAAAGGATTAGCTGAAATTTTTTCTAAATTGAATCAAAGCCTTCAGTTGCTTTTTAAACATGTTTCCAAATGCTGATCACATTGCTACAGACAGATTTTTGGAAGCAGTGAAATGGTGTCATGAATTATATGACGAAAAAAAGGAATATATATATATATATATATATATA